AAAAATAAATTTTCATTTGTTCATATATATATATGAATTAAAATGTCCTTTCGAAGCGAGCGATGAGATTTCAATTCCGTCGGCCGACAGCTTCCAACGGGCAACACCTCCAACCAAAAAATAGAGCCGACACTGGTATTAGACTTTTGAAAACTAATGTTGTTGTTTATTTGCTGACGATACTTATTGATTTGGTTTTGAATAATTAGACACTTTTATTGTCTACTGATGATGTCTGACGGCTTTATAATTGAGCATATATGATAACCTTATCTTGGCCCTTTTTTTTGCTTTTATGTTTATTTTAAATTTCTACTATATATTTTTTGGTGAGTTATAACCTAGGGTGGAGGATCCACAGATTTTTCATTTTTTTTTTTTTGGATTTATACACACAAGCATTTGACCATAAACTTAATCGTTGCATAAAAGCTTTATTTTTTTAATTCAATTTTTCATATTGTAGAACATATTTCAAATCTCAAAAAATAATTTCCCCAATAATAGCCTTTGAGGCCCATTTGGAGCACCACCTCATCATTAAAAAAAATGGTTTTCATAAATCACCCACGTGAAAAGAGACCCGAACCTAAGGGCCCAAATTTAATCGACTTGATTTGGTTTTGAATAATTAGACAAATTTATTGTCTATTGATGATGCCTGCCAGTTTGATAGTTGGAAATTTATCATAACCTTATCTCTGCCTTTTCTTTTATGCTTATTTTAAATTTGTACTTTATATTTTTTGGTGAGTTGTAAACTAGGGTGGAGGATCCACAGCTTTTTCTTTTTTTTTGGACTTTGTAATGTTGTAATAAAATTTCCTCAGGTGCTTTTAAAGTAAATAAATATATAAGAAAAGTTTGCATAGAATCATTTCAATCAAAAAACTTGTTGGGATTATTTCAGGTCTCTCTCTCTTACAACTGTGATATCAAAGCTTATCAGCAAACTATTGGTTTTCAGATTAAAACCTAACCTGCCCTTGTTAATTGTTCCTAATCAATCTGCCTTTCTTGCTGGTAGACAAGTTACTGATAATGTTTTGCTAACACAAGAACTTCTCATGGATATTGACAGAACTTGTAGAGCAGGAAACTTCATGCACAAGCTAGATCTATCCAAGGCTTATGACACTATAAATTGGCAATTTATTCTGCAGGTCCTTCATGCTAGATGCTTCAATACTCATTTATGCAGGTCCTTCACGCTAGAGGCTTCATGCTAGAGGGTTCAATAATCATTTATTACACTTTATATTAGTGGCCTACTCTGGACTGGGTTAAATCTATCTGGGTGAAATTTCTCAGCCCATCTATGTCTTTCTTTGCTGGAGGTGCTTCCATAAAATCCTTCCCACTGATGTTATCCTTAAGCTAAAAGGTTTGAGAGGCCCTTCAAGGTGTTATCTTTGTTTCAATCAGGAGGAATCACTCTCCCACATATTTTTTTCCTGCCCTATTACTAAGGAAGTTTGGACACACATCACTACTAAGTTTAAATTACCTCACTATGAGTAAAACCTAATGTATTTAAGGTTTAACTAGGTTTAATTAGTTTTAAAGGTGGTTTAAACCTAATTATGTTTTTTAAGTTAAACCTAATGTAATTAAGTTTTAACTAAGGTTTAATTTGGTTTAAATCTGGTTTAGGCCTAGTTCGGGTTTGTTAAGTTAAACCTAATCTATTTAAGGTCTAACTAAGGTTTAATTAGGTCTAAATGTGGTCTAAATCTAATTAGGTGTGTATTGAGTTAAACCTAATGTAGTTAAGGTTTAAGTAGGTTTAATTAGGTTTAAAGGTGGTTTAAACCTAATTAGGTTTGTATTAAGTTTAACCTAATGTAGTTAAGGTCTAACTAAGGTAGACCTAATTTAGGGTTTGTTCAGTTAAACCTAATGTAGTTAAGGTTTAACTAAGGTTTAATTAAGTCTAAATGTGGTTTAAACCTAATTAAGTGTCTATTGAGTTAAACTTAATGTAGTTAAAGTTTAATAAGGTTTAATTAGGTTTAAATAGAGTTTGGTTAACTCTAAGTGTCACTAAGACTAGTGTCCAAGTATAAAGAAGACGGGTAAATATGTAATTTTTTATTTTTACAAATTTAACCCTAGAAATGAAATGTCATTTTGAAATTTATAAATGGTTGAAAATTTATCATTTTAGAGTTCAAAAATGTCACTCTAAGTTTTCTAACCATTTTTTATTTTAATATCCAATTTCCTCAATTTTTATAATTATTTTAAAGATAATTTTAAATTTTGAAAGAAATTAAGAAATTGATGTCTAGGTAGCTTTTCTGGCCTTGGGAAAATTATGGCAGGTTCCGAAGGACTTATAGATAACTAAGGAAGTTTTGACACACATCACTACTAAGTTTAAATTACCTCACTATCTTACTCTTTCTGATAATTTTACTGATTGTTGGAAAAAGTGGAAGACAAATAAGGCTGAGATTTTCCCTTTCATTGTTACTTGGTTCCTTTGGATGGAAAAAAATGGCAACAGACATGAGGGCTGCTCCATTAATTCTTCTCAAATCAATATCAACTGCCTTTCTTATATTTATAAGATTATTACCTACATGAGCTACAAGATGAAGAACTCTGATTGTTCATGCAGCAGAGACCCTGACAGACTTCCTCCACCTCCTCTAAATATATAATTAATCCATTGGAGGAAACATATGCAGCCTTGGATCAATATCAACACTGATGGCAGCTTTAAGAAGAACACTGCTGGCACGGGGGGTATTTTCATGAATCATTCTGAGAAGTGCCTATTATATTTCCATTCTCCGATTATGGCCATTAACGCTTTACATGCTGAAGCCCAAGCCGTTGTTTGGTCAATTTAAATAGCTACTGCCATGGGTTGGACACTCCAACATTTAGAGCTTGATTCTTCTTGGCTAGTCCAAGCTTTTAAGGAGGATCTTCCTTTCCCTTGGTTTCTTTTTCCCCTACTCAAGCATATCAAAACATGATTTCTACTTACAACCTACAAATTCTTTGGAGTCACATTCCCAGAGAAAGCAACAAATGTGCAAATTGGCTTGCTACTATAGGTGCATCCATTTTTGGTCCTCTGTTAAATGTAATTCATCCATCAGATCTTTCTTTTTGATAAGGGGAGACCTTCGCTCTCCACCTTATAACCCTTCTCCCCACCTTAATGAAATCTCATTCTTGCTATATATATATATAAGCCTTTGACCATAAACTTAACCGTTGCATAGAAGCTTTATTTTTTTAATTCAAAATTTCAAATTGTAGAACATATTTCACATCTCAAAAAATATTTGCCCCAACAATGGCCCTTCAGGCCCATTTGGAGCACCACCTCATCACCAAAAAAAAAGTGATTTTCATAAATCACCAACGTGAAAAAAAACCCAAAAAACCCGAACAGAAGGGCCCAAATTCAATCGACAAATTAGAAAGTTAAATAATATTTAAAAAAGAGGGAACTCGTAACAGAAATTAATAAATTAAAAACTTTAAGAAAAAATTAGGACACCTTTGTTTTATTTTTTCCAAGTGAAATTAAAAAAATAATTTATTTTTTAATTAAAAAATACTTATCTAGCCAAGCGGTTCGCTAATTGACCATTAGGTCTCACATATCTCTTAATGCACACCTTAATTTTTTAAAGCATACAACTTAATTTTTTAGTTCTATTTTTTGTTATATTCTCAATATTTTATTTATTTATTTTATATACTTTTTTTTATTTTTATTATAATAATGTCTGATGTTTGTTGTATCTTTTACTTTTATTAATAAAAGTGCCCCGTATTCGCATCTATATTTATATCCGTGCAACATGGATTCCAATCTCAATAGCCAAGCTTCAAGCAAGCAAATCAAATCCGACTCAAACCCAATTAACCTCTCTTCATTTATAATATTTTAATATGAAATGTAACAGTTGAATAAAATATCTAAAAAATTTCCCTTCTTACGTAGGAAATACTGGAATCAACAATTTTCCAACGGTCCAACAGAAGAGTATTCAGTGGCAGAAAAAGAACATACCTAAAAGCTGCCTGCTTCCCACCAAAAAAAAAAAAATACATTAGAATTATATCTCCGCCACTAATGCATTTCAGCTTAACAGACCACAAAATCTTTATCTTGTCACAACAAAATCATGCATCAAATATGACAATCAAACTGAATAGAAAGATTATGAATCAGTAAAACCAAAGAAAAATCTAGACTGCATTTGAGGAGCTTTATCATTGTAGAGTGGCTTCAACAAGAGCCAATCTAATCAGATAGAATCAGAATAGATCTCTTCAGCACTTCTTTTCCCCATTTAATGTTTCCGGCTTCCACCCTATGATATGGGATGAAATGGACAAACAACTAGCTATTCTTCTCTTGCAATTGTAATCAAATAGCTACTCTTCTCTGATGCACTTCTTCGATAAATAGCTAAAGTGAAGTATATAAGTATCAAAGTCCCCATGCTTGACCTATCACGAATAAGAACCCATTCAGGAAAAAATAAACAAAACATTTACGAATCAGGCTTTATTTGGTACAATGTTTTGATGTCATAATTTTACTATATGCTTGTATCAATAAAATAATAACATTTTCACATGAAATGAGATATTTCATAGCTTAGTACATATGCTCATGAAATTATATAGAAGGAATATATATCAAGTGATACCCGTCCAAGCATATTTACATAAAAAAAAAAAAAGGGAAATTTACATACATGGCACCCAATTCTTATGCTTTTATTTATCCCTTTTCCTATGTTTGAAAAAGTCCTATGAAAAGGTGGATTACACTTTTTCCTATATGTAGGGTGCTTAATTTGTAAAAATCAATGTTTGGGTGGGTTAAGTAAATGTGGAAGAATTGGGTGCTATGTATGTAAATACCCCAAAGAATAAAAGAAAAAACAGATGATATAAAGATAAAATCAAATTTTTTTTTTCCACTCAAAAGTTCAATTTTTGTTCCAAAAATAAATCTTTTGTAAATTTATTTTTGAAACTCACGTAAGACTACCTGATAAGTCACTTTATAAGCTTCATAACTACCCTAACCATATCATTCATAAATGGCATTGATTCAATATCAAACACCACGAGTCCATTATTAGGTATATTTTTGAATACTCACATCGAAGCTAGAAGAAGAAGAATTCTTCTTGGGTTGATTGTCATGAAGCGATTAAAACGCTTAAACTTTCCTTCCCCTGCATCTACAAGGTTGGTGCTATTAGCCACAACAGGAATTGCAGAGAAGGCTTTGGTAGGGACTAAAAGCTGCTTCAACTGCTCCATCTGTGTACACACAACTGTAAAACGGAAAGCATAATTTCAGAGAACTTTCAAAAGATACAAGTTAAAATTACAGATCAGCATCTGCAGAAACAAATTAAGAAATAAAGGTTAGGTAGGAAGAATTCAGTCATACAAAGAGAACATTCCACCAGATATACAAAAAGGAAAACTTACTGGAACACAGAACCAAAAGCTGACAGCAAACTAGTTACCTTTTTCAAGCATATTTTGGGGAAGAAAAAAAAGAAAAAGAGATTAGTTATACATGCTCATAAGCGTTTTAGAATTCTATAAATCATTTAAAATTGTTTGCACCTTGTCTTAAACATTCTGATTGTCCATTGTTAGGATTGATAAAAAAACTAGTTTGCCATTGTTTTTTTGCATGCTTTATGCCCAGTATGGCTTCATCAAATTAAATGAGACGCAAAAAAAAAAAAATTGTTAGAAAACCCAAGGGCCAATCTGATTCAACCAAAAGCTAGAAAGTAATAGGAACAAGAGCTCAAAAATAAATTTTCATTTGTTCCAAAGGAAGTGAACGAAAATTAGATTCTTTTTTTTAAGCTAACCTTCATTAAAGTGGAAATGGTGTCACAATTTTGAGGGCTTAAAATCCCAGTTCAATTTATGCCTTTTTGTATAAAGTAATAGTACGATATTATAAGGTTAAAAGAAGATTATGTTAGCCTAATAGTTTAATTCGTTTTAACAAAAAAAAAATAATAAATAAATGGGAAGGATGCCAAAAAATATAACCCATAGCAATGCAAACAAAAATTCATGCCAAACAAATAAACATAGTGCTCAAATTAAACTTTTTGGAAATCAAATCCAACCACTTCAAATTCTTACATCAAAATAAATTTATAGGCAGCTGCCAACTTTCACTGGTTGTTCTGTGATTTTAAAACTGCCCTGACAATTGTACCAAGTTATGAGCATGCCATAGTGAAAAGTGCCGGTTGAAAAGAACAAAGAGCATCTCTTCATACCTTTAACCAGATGCTTTTTTAAAGAGTCAACCACTTCGTTCTCCTCTCCACTTCTCCTCTCCATTCGACAAGATCCCGTCCTGGATGATGCTTTCTGTTTCAGAAGTTGCAGGGAAAAAAGTTGAGCTTATATATAGTCAGCTAAACCTCAACTCAGAAGTTTATTAATATTAAAATAACACAAGAAAGTGATAACATGTACAAGAAATATATCAAAGAGGGGGTGTAAAATCGGGATTGTGGGCTGGATTCGACCCCAACAAATACTGCTTGGCCCTAAAACAGGCCAGAAAGTCCAACGCGAACATGAACTGCCTTCAACCTGCCAACCCAAACCCGACCTCATAATTTCTAGTCAATCTCAAGTGGGTTACGAGTCAGCACATCTATTCCAAATCAACTTACAGTTATCTGGTCATTTTCGGGTTGGCAGGTCATCCCAAACCTGATACAAAAATTATTTGAGCCAGCCCAAACCTGAATATTTTTTGTTAAGTTACGTCCGTTTTTGACACCCCTATTATATCAAAAATCACTTACAGTCATTTTTGGGCTTCCAGAGCATTTAGTAGGAGGCAGGGTGACGCTTTCAATTTCCAAGATGACACTTTCCGAGATGTCCATTTTGATTTTCAGACCTTAAAATATCTAAATAAACAAAAAGAAATAATCATTTTCTCTGACATCATATCAAACAATAAACATGACTATATTATGGCTTATTTATAACTTGAAAAAACAAAAGAAGGCAAGTAGTCATCATAGCAACTAAAAGACATTTGAGTGAAAGCAAAAAACAATTAGGCATATAAAGATGTAACGCAGAAAAAAAATTGAAAATAAAAGTGGTGTTTTAAGCTTATGATGAACATTACTAGGGAAAGTAAAATCAACACTTAAGGAAGTTGAGTTGAAGTAGAAATCATGTATTAAAAGCTTAAACCAAAATATAGTTACTGCATAAGCTCATATTATGCCCGTCAAATAAATAGTTTTCCATCAATTCATGCCAGAAAAAGAACTGAAATTAGGTAAGTGATACACCATCAACAAATTTACATCATTTGATAGGAATCTCAAGGCATGACACGAATCTCAAAAGTAATTTTTTAGTAAGAAACGTTCAATCTCTGATTAAAAATTATCCCGAACACCAATTTCAGCAAGCTCAGAGGTCAAACTGCCAGACATGACGAGGCGGACCCACAACGCCAAAATTGGTCCAATCCGAGTCAAATAAAGCTCATATCGAGCTGTCAAACCACCTAGAAAGACTTCAGCGCATAATTGGATGGTTAAAAAAAATTCAAATCTGACAAACTTAGAGTCAAATCAAGCATTTCAAAGAGACAAATACCATGGGCCCAAAATCACTCAATTCTGACATTATTAATGTTGAATCCAAATCTATTTGGGAGGACTGTCAAAGGGATAGAGTATTGAAGGATCAGAGAGAGAAAAAGAGAGCAATAACACACTAATGAATACTAAATTTGCGTAATATTTATTCATGATATAAACTTCTTATATATGGGAATGGGTCATCGTTTTTTCTACATAATTTACCCTTAAAGTAGTACTTAAGTACAGTAGAGGCAATTTAGTCCTTACATAAATATGGCCCGTGGGCACATGAGCAAGATCGGGCGGCTGCTAGGTCGGGCGGTTATTAAGCCGAAAGGCTATTTGCAGAGGATTCACGCCTCTCACCCTAGAACTAAGTGATCCGTCTTTACTCTCTTGGCTTATCCGGGTTGGGGCAATTTGTTCGTCCAAATGGGTTCAGTCCGATGGATTCTTGAGGCGCAGTATGCCTTTTATCCTCCTGGGGCGTATCGTCCTTCTAATATGTGGGGGTTATCGGTCGATTGTGTGGTCCTAGGTCATCGTTAGTAGGCCATGTCACTCCTACTATCTGCGAGATATCTTTGTGATTCTTGCTCACACATATTTTATGTACTGATTAAAGTTCGCCAATTTTTTTGCACTTTGATAGTGATAACTACGATAGGGATAAAGAAATTTTAAAATAAATGAACCTCATGACAATATTTATTAAATGTCATAAAGAAAATCCCTGGATTTCCATGACATGATCATTATATGGGGCTCTCAGGGGGTAGCTTCATCATTTTGACTTTGTTTCTTCTCTGGGCCTTTGTTTGTTGTCCGCAGCTTCGCTATGGAAAAGGGATCCGACCCCGTGCTAAAACCTATTGACAAGGCCATTCTGTTAGCTGTAGTCTGGATCAGGTCGCAACAAACTGGGGGCAAGTTGTTGAGGAAGAGGGCAATCAAGAGGTCGAGGCTGATTGAGGAGGTGAGGGTATAAGAGTCATTTGATTCGGTTCGCAATACAATAGGAGTTTTACCCAAGGTTGGTGAGGAGAACGGGGGTTCAGTGATCAACCCACCAATAAGAACTCCCTTCGGAGCTCACATCCAACTGACTACTATGAATATTCCTCTCCTAAGCTATACTAAACGAGTTAGTGGAGATGACTGTAGACCTCACTTTTGGTTGAGGTTTAGTTTTCCCTCTTTAATTGCCTAAGGTCTAGACATAGGACTTTCCTGTTAACTATTCTTAGAAAACTACAAAAGGAACCCTCACTGTTAGAAATATTAAACTCTTCCTTCCTCAACTCGAAATGGCACATATTGGTCCTAACCTCTAGCACTAGTAGGTGGGGTCAGTATATAGGATCTCAAGGAGAGTCCCCATAGAACTGTTTGACCTTAGGATTGACCCTGGGTGTTGGTCTGGAGCTAGTTCACTCACTACACTCACTATCACCTATATCCACTCACAACCCTAAACCCTAATTTGTTGACTTTGATCCATTGATTTTTTTGGGAGACTATGTAGATGGTCCCCTAGACCCACTAGCCCTAGGCTAAGGTTTAGCTAAGACCAGCACATAGGGACCCAAATAGAGATTTCATTGGTCCATAGCTCGTATAGGGTGGTTGGCACCCCAATTCTACCAAAGTTTCCAATTTGGCCTTTTTACCCCCAAACCTACCCAAATTACCTAAACACTCCCAAATCCTAAATTTGGCAAAAAATTTCAATTTCACCCAAAATACCCAAATTTGTTCAAAAATCATTTCAAACCATTTTAAAATGCCTCAATTACCCAAGACTACCAAAAAATTCCAAATTTACCAAAATACTCACAAAAATTGCCAAAATTACCAAAATACCCTTGCACCCCAAACTTTCCCAAAACCTCTAAAATCACTTCAAATGTTTCCAAAACCAACTTGGACCCTCTAATTGGACACAATTTGGCCAATTTGACCATTTTGACCAAAACTCCCAAATTGTCTTTAAAGGCCCAATTCCCCCAAATTCATCCAAAATGTCCATCAATTTAGATCCAATTTCCCTCAATTTCAATTCTAAACTCAAACTCATCTTTCATTTGATCAATCCAAACCAAATCCAAGCCTAATTGGCCCACGCTTTGAGCTCAATTTTGATCTAAGTCAAACCCCCAATTTTGATCCTATGACCTAATCTTATCTGACTTAATCTCACTTAATTGAACCCCATAGCCTACTCAATTTGCCCCAATTTGAATCCTAAACTCTTCATAATGCTCCTACACACCAAATTGAACTTTTAATTGGCCTTGGTAAAGCCTCAATTTGACTTAATTTTAACCCAAGTCCAAAAATCCTCAAATTTGCCCCAAATTGGTTGTCTCTAAATTCCACCAAATTGAATGCCCTAACCCCAAAATTGACACCCAATTTATGTTGAAAACTCTTCATGACATTCCTATGGACCATTTCCAACCATCAATTTGGACTTAGCCCAACCTTAGCGCAACCTAGACCCAAGTCTAGTCCAACAAGCCCAAATTGACCAAAATTCCAAAATCCTTCAAATTGAGCTTTCAAATGACCTTAAAATTACTTCAATCCTTCACCAAATATCTTCATAACAATCATCTACACAATGTTAATCAATCAATTGAGCTCAAAGTCATGGCTAGCCTAACCCAAACCCAACTTTTAGCTTTTTTGACCCAAATTGGACCCAAGCACAAAAATTAACTTAACCATCCTAAAGTAACAAAATTAAGGTCTCCACAGCCACTAAGCACACCTTATTGACCAGGCTAAACCCTCTCAAACCACCCAAGAACAAGCTAAACCCTCTCAAACCACCCAAGAAAGCTATGGACCAATGGGTCCCTAAATTAAGGGATCTTAGCCCATTTTTGTGCCTTAACCAGAAATCTCTTCCATCATCACTTATCATTGGGAGTAAATTATAATTAAGCCTCCCCCCGGCTCACCTGACCTTCTGGCCACCACCGCTGGCCCTGTCGGCCGGCCTTCTCACTGGAGGAGCTCGGCCTAGTGGCTGGAAAACACCAAAATTGAGGCCCCCAAGCTCAAATTCAAACCCAGAGGCCAGCTCATCCCAATGGCTCTTTAGAGCTCCTCAACCCTCCACCTAAGCACCATTTTACACCCATCACACTATTTTACACCAATCAATTAGCCCTGAGCTCCCCTCTAAGCTCCTCTATTTAGTCAGCCCCTCCATGGCCAAAGAGAGGAGAGTGCTAAAATCCTTGGGGAAACTCTGTCCAATTGCTTTCAGACACTATCCAAGAACACCTAAGCTCATTGACACCATTTTCCCCCACTAATCCCTACTATGAAAGCCCAATTTTGAGCTCAAACTTTCAGCTCAAATCAGGACATCTCTCCACAGTCCACCAAACTCAAATTAAATGTGCACACAACATCCCTAGAGCAAGATGAATCGATTCCCCATCAAACCCCCCTCTGAAACAGCTTCTAGGGCAGCTCTAGACCAACACCTGAAATCCACCTTAATCGAATTCATACCTAGACAATTCACCAAGGCTTAAGACTCTTTCAGAAATTAACATAAATTATTTTAAAATAAAATAATAATATAATTAATTAAATTTAATCTTGAATATCATAGCCAAGTAATTTTTGCTCAAACACTTTTTGCTACCAAACAATTTGACCGAGCATTACCACACCAAATAAAATATATGAAAGTTATTTTATTTTATATATATTTGAGAAAAATATATATAAATTACCACACCAAATAAAATATATGAAAGCCTATAATTTGAGAAAATGTCGAAATTTTGCCAAAGGATAACAATGAATGTATCAAAACTTAATTGTGATTTTAAAAATGTAGACATTTCACATGGCTTTAAATTCATTAAAAATATGTATCCAATCGAAGCTACCACAACCATCTGATTGAGGCCTCCCCTCTCAAACAAAGGTATTGAGCTCTAACCCTAGCCCGAGTTTATTTTGATTCTCCATTTGTAATTGCTTGATTTCATACTTGACTAACCATATAGATGTGTTCGTCTTGAGTAGATGAAGGTTTAGAAACAAACCCCATGCGATTTGGTTGAGTCTAGAAGAAGATCTTAAGGTTTTAGTGTGAACGGTTTACGGGTTAAGTCACTTGGGGACAATAATGGAGAGCCGTCTGATCGCGCGGTTATCCAACCAACGGAGGAGATCAAGCCGGACGAGCGGATGGTGCGTGAACCGCTAGTCGTGTCGCTAGTCGTGTGGCAGCTGAAGTGGATGGCTACATCGAATGAGAGTGCGCCGCATGTGAG